CTTTCTTATAGTCAACAAAACAACAATATAAACGTTTACTATCATTTAGAGATTTTGTAATAATGGCATGAAGCGCGAAAATGGCGTCAACCGTACTTGTTCCAGGACGAAAACCAAACTGTGCATCTGTGATAATGTCATTCGACTCCGACCAGTCTACTAGTCTTTTATTCAGTACAGATGTAAAAAGTTTCGCCATACAGCTCAGGAGACTTATTCCACGATAATTATTAGGATCGTTTTTATCACCTTTTTTAAACACCGGGACCATCACCGCTTTAGACCATTCTTCAGGGAAACATCCAGAGTTAAATACATTATTAAAAATAGTATGTAAGGCTTGTAGTAAAATGTCACCAGCTTCAATAAAATATTCGTTTAGTAAACCATCTAGACCATGCGCTTTTTCTCGTTTTAGACGCTTGATAGCACATTTAATTTCGTCTGTAGATATACTACGGTCAAGTTCATCAAACACAGTGTTCCTATCAACATTTTCTTCTACATAATCATTATCCGACGGGTCGAGATTCGTGGCTACCTCCTTGAAGTGATTAAAAAATTCATCCAACGACACATTTGAAACAGTGGATTTTGTACTTGAGAATTTTTTATAAAAATAACGTGGATTGGTTTTCTGTAAGTGTTCCATCATATCTCCCTCGACCTTCCTATATTGCCTTTTACATGCGGCTTCAGAACGTTTGTATTCCCGTTTCCTTCGTATTAAAAGATCATGGGTTTCATCACATTTATTTCTGTTAAAATTATTCAATGCAGTCAGGTATTCTCCCCTCAAAGCACGCAACTGCCTGTCGAACCAGGGCTTATCTTGTTCATTCCATTTATATGTTGGTCTACTTACACCTGTTCTTCATTGGAGTGTAGTGACAAAAGGCTGTCTAATAGGAATAGACTTGTAATCAACACCTGTTCTTTATTGGAGTGTAGTGACAAAAGGCTGTCTAATAGGAGTAGACTTGTAATCAACACCTGTTCTTTATTGGAGTGCAGTGACTTACAGCTTTAACCAGTAACTCTTTGTTTTAGTTATTTTATACAGCAAACGCTTTAAATGAATTATGCTAGGTTGACAAAAAATATTTCTTAACCAATGTCAGTGAGATGACAAGGCATTGCTAGGCACACATCCATTTTGGTTTCTACAATAATCTATATAGCAGCTGCTACGATCAAAACCCCGAATTCTCCAGGGGGTTTGTCATTAACTGCATCCTTTTATCATACAGCTGAATACAGCCAACTCATTATTTCCCTGAAATTGCTAAGGTTAACAGAATCAGTTAAGTGAACAAGATTCCAAAGCTTACCATAGGTCTCCCCATATATCTTGGCAAAGGAGGCAAGAGTGAAACAGAATCGGTAGTAGGAGCTTGCGAAGCAAACATTTCCAAGTAACGGAGACACTATCTTATTCTCTTCGTCTTCTGCATAGACACTGTAATCAGAGCAAACACAGAAACTATACTATACAGCATTATTGGTGTAACTATACTATAGAGTATTATTGGTGTAACTATACTATACAGTATTATTTGTGTAACTATGTTATACAGTATTATTTGTGTAACTATAAAGTATTATTTGTGTAACTATAAAGTATTATTGGTGTAACTATAAAGTATTATTGGTGTAACTATACTATACAGTATTATTTGTGTAACTATACTATACAGTATTATTTGTGTAACTATACAGTATTATTTGTGTAACTATGTTATACAGTATTATTGGTGTAACTTTACAGTATTATTGGTGTAACTATACATTATTATTGGTGTAACTATACAGTATTATTGGTATAACTATACTATACAGTATTATTGGTATAACTATACTATACAGTATTATTGGGGTAACTATACAGTATTATTGGTGTAATTATACTATACAGTATTATTGGTGTAACTATCCAGTATTATTGGTGGAACTATAACATACAGTATTATTGGTGTAACTATACTGTACAGTATTATTGGTGTAACTATACTGTACAGTATTATTGGTGTAACTATACTGTACAGTATTATTGGTGTAACTATACAGGATTATTGGAGTAACTATACTATACAGTATTATCGCAGTAACTATACATTATTATTGGTGTAACTATACAGTATTATTTGTGTAACTTTGTTATACAGTATTATTGGTGTAACTTTACAGTATTATTGGTGTAACTATACATTATTATTGGTGCAACTATGTTATACAGTATTATTGGTGTAACTTTACAGTATTATTGGTGTAACTATACCATACGGTATTATTTGTGTAACTATACAGTATTATTTGTGTAACTTTGTTATACAGTATTATTGGTGTAACTCTACTATACAGTATTATTGGTGTAACGATACTATACAGTATTATTGGTGTAATTATACTATACAGTATTATTGGTGTAACGATACTATACAGTATTATTTGTGTAACTTTGTTATACAGTATTATTGGTGTAACTTTACAGTATTATTGTTGTAACTATACTATACAGTATTATTTGTGTACCTCTGTTATACAGTGTTATTGGTGTAACTATACAGTATTATTGGCGTAACTATACAGTATTATTGGTGTACCTATACAGTATTATTGGTGTAACTATACTATACAGTATTATTAGTGTAACTATACTATACAGTATTATTGGTGTAAGTGATCCTGTAATGTATTTAGACGTTTTTGTAAGACCATTTCCATATCTACCCTGTATCAACCCACAACCTCCATATATCAGCCTGAGAGACCAGAGGCTCGTGGGCTGATATAAGTCAAAGATTAAACTGAGGTAGGATATGGTCACTTAATGGTTACATTATCATACACTAGACATTGTAAATATTTCAGTCAACATTACTGATTATAACACAAATCATGTGTAATAGAAGTATAATTTTCAAAACTATTGAAATGGAAGTAAAATAGATATGATATGTGCTAAGCAGTTATGACCCATGCGTGTGCTGGTCAGATATGGCATTATGTGGGTAGACATGGGTCAGTTTGGATATGGCCTGTGCACAAATTGCAGAATTGTACATGCAAAACAACCCATATTGCAGTACATGATAAAATCTTTTAATGGATTGAGTCATAACTTACTGCTACAATGTTATAAGATACTAATTGTTTCAAGGAACGCTCTATACAAATACTTATTGAGAAGGTTTACTAACTTCACACCAAACAGTTTAACACAGCACACATGAGATAGGTATACCTGATGAGAGCATTGACTTCCTCGAGGATGTGTCGGAGCTTGAAGTAGGCGTCTGTGGGAGGCAGCTTCAGCTCCAGTATGAGACGGTCGACCTTGTTGATACAGATGGTGAGAGGAAGCTTCTCTTGTATGGCATGTTTAATGAGTCGCTCAGTGTTCAACATCACCTGTTAAACACAGATTGTGTCAGTGGTAAAAATCACACCTATTGTCACATAAAACATGCAAGTTATTATACATAGTTGTCACACAAAACATGTAGGGTATCACACAGTTGTTGTACAAAACATGTAAGTTTTCACAAGGTTGTCACACAAAACATGTAAGTTATCACACATTTGTCGCACAAAACATGTAAGTTATCACACAGTTGTCGCACAAAACATGTAAGTTATCACACAGTTGTCGCAAAAAACATGTAAGTTATCACACAGTTGTCACATAAAACATGGAAGTTACCAAACAGTTGTCACACAAAACATGCAGATTATCATATAGTTGTCACAAAACATGTAAGTTATCACACAGTTATCACACAAAACATGAAAGTTATCACACAGTTGTCACACAAAACATGCAAGTTATCACACAGTTGTCACACAAAACATGTAAGTTATCATACACAGTTGTCGTACAAAACATGTAAATTATCACACAGTTGTCACACAAAACATGTAAGTTATCACACAGTTGTCACACAAAACATGCAAGTTATCACACAGTTGTCACATAAAACATGTAAGTTATCACAGTTGTCACACAGTTGTCACACAAAACATACAAGTTATCACACAAAACATGCAAGTTATCACAGTTATCTCACAAAACATGCAAGTTATCACACAGTTGTCACACAAAACATGCATTATTATACACAGTTGTAACATAAAACATGCCAGTTATCAAACAGTTGTCACACAAAACATGTAAGTTATCATATAGTTGTCATATAAAACATGTAAGTTATCACACTCTTATCACACAAAACATTTAAGTTATCATACAGTTGTTGCACAAAACATGTAAGTTATCACACAGTTATCACACAAAACATGCAAGTTATCACACAGTTGTCACACAAAACATGTAAGTTATCATATAGTTGTCATATAAAACATGTAAGTTATCACACTCTTATCACACAAAACATGTAAGTTATCATACAGTTGTCACACAAAACATGTAAGTTATCACACAAAACATGTAAGTTATCACACAGTTGTCACACAAAACATGCAAGTTATCACACAGTTATCACACAAAACATGCAAGTTATCACACAGTCGTCACACAAAACATGTAAGTTATCACACAGTTGTCGTACAAAACAAGTAAGTTATCACACAAAAAATGTAAGTTATCACACAGTTGTCACATAAAACATGTAAGTTATCACACAGTTATCACACAAAACATGCAAGTTATCACACAGTTATCACACAAAACATGCAAGTTATCACACAGTTATCACACAAAACATGCAAGTTATCACACAGTTGTCACACAAAACATGCAAGTTATCACACAGTTGTCACACAAAACATGCAAGTTATCACACAGTTGTCACACAAAACATGTAAGTTATCACACAGTTGTCACACAAAACATGTAAGTTATCACACAGTTGTCGCACAAAACATGTAAGTTATCACACAGTTGTCGCACAAAACATGTAAGTTATCACACAGTTGTCGTACAAAACATGTAAGTTATCACACAGTTGTCACACAAAACATGTAAGTTATCACACAGTTGTCGCACAAAACATGTAAGTTATCACACAGTTGTCGCACAAAACATGTAAGTTATCACACAGTTGTCGCACAAAACATGTAAGTTATCACACAGTTGTCGCACAAAACATGTAAGTTATCACACAGTTGTCGCACAAAACATGTAAGTTATCACACAGTTGTCGCACAAAACATGTAAGTTATCACACAGTTGTCGCACAAAACATGTAAGTTATCACACAGTTGTCGCACAAAACATGTAAGTTATCACACAGTTGTCACACAAAACATGCATTATTATACACAGTTGTAACATAAAACATGCCAGTTATCAAACAGTTGTCACACAAAACATGTAAGTTATCATATAGTTGTCATATAAAACATGTAAGTTATCACACTCTTATCACACAAAACATTTAAGTTATCATACAGTTGTTGCACAAAACATGTAAGTTATCACACAGTTATCACACAAAACATGCAAGTTATCACACAGTTGTCATAAAACATGTAAGTTATCACACTCTTATCACACAAAACATGTAAGTTATCATACAGTTGTCACACAAAACATGTAAGTTATCACACAAAACATGTAAGTTATCACACAGTTGTCACACAAAACATGTAAGTTATCACACAGTTGTCACACAAAACATGTAAGTTATCACACAGTTGTCGCACAAAACATGTAAGTTATCACACAGTTGTCGCACAAAACATGTAAGTTATCACACAGTTGTCGCAAAAAACATGTAAGTTATCACACAGTTGTCACATAAAACATGGAAGTTACCAAACAGTTGTCACACAAAACATGCAGATTATCATATAGTTGTCACAAAACATGTAAGTTATCACACAGTTATCACACAAAACATGTAAGTTATCACACAGTTATCACACAAAACATGCAAGTTATCACACAGTTATCACACAAAACATGCAAGTTATCACACAGTTATCACACAAAACATGCAAGTTATCACACAGTTGTCACACAAAACATGCAAGTTATCACACAGTTGTCACACAAAACATGCAAGTTATCACACAGTTGTCACACAAAACATGTAAGTTATCACACAGTTGTCACACAAAACATGTAAGTTATCACACAGTTGTCGCACAAAACATGTAAGTTATCACACAGTTGTCGCACAAAACATGTAAGTTATCACACAGTTGTCGCACAAAACATGTAAGTTATCACACAGTTGTCGCACAAAACATGTAAGTTATCACACAGTTGTCGCACAAAACATGTAAGTTATCACACAGTTGTCGTACAAAACATGTAAGTTATCACACAGTTGTCGCACAAAACATGTAAGTTATCACACAGTTGTCGCACAAAACATGTAAGTTATCACACAGTTGTCGCACAAAACATGTAAGTTATCACACAGTTGTCGCACAAAACATGTAAGTTATCACACAGTTGTCGCACAAAACATGTAAGTTATCACACAGTTGTCGCACAAAACATGTAAGTTATCACACAGTTGTCGCACAAAACATGTAAGTTATCACACAGTTGTCGCACAAAACATGTAAGTTATCACACAGTTGTCACACAAAACATGTAAGTTATCACACAGTTGTCGTACAAAACATGTAAGTTATCACACAGTTGTCACACAAAACATGTAAGTTATCACACAGTTGTCGCACAAAACATGTAAGTTATCACACAGTTGTCGCACAAAACATGTAAGTTATCACACAGTTGTCGCACAAAACATGTAAGTTATCACACAGTTGTCGCACAAAACATGTAAGTTATCACACAGTTGTCGCACAAAACATGTAAGTTATCACACAGTTGTCGCACAAAACATGTAAGTTATCACACAGTTGTCACACAAAACATGTAAGTTATCACACAGTTGTCGCACAAAACATGTAAGTTATCACACAGTTGTCACACAAAACATGCAAGTTATCACACAGTTGTCACACAAAACATGTAAGTTATCACACAGTTATCACACAAAACATGCAAGTTATCACACAGTTGTCACATAAAACATGTAAGTTATCACATTCTTATCACACAAAACATGTAAGTTATCATACAGTTGTCGCACAAAACATGCAAGTTATCACACAGTTGTCACATAAAACATGTAAGTTATCACACTCTTATCACACAAAACATGTAAGTTATCATACAGTTGTCACACAAAACATGTAAGTTATCACACAGTTGTCACACAAAACATGCAAGTTATCACACAGTTGTCACACAAAACATGTAAGTTATCACACAGTTATCACACAAAACATGCAAGTTATCACACAGTTGTCACATAAAACATGTAAGTTATCACACAGTTATCACACAAAACATGCAAGTTATCACACAAAACATGCAAGTTATCACACAGTTGTCACACAAAACATGTAAGTTATCACACAGTTGTCACACAAAACATGTAAGTTATCACACAGTTATCACACAAAACATGCAAGTTATCACACAGTTGTCACATAAAACATGTAAGTTATCACACTCTTATCACACAAAACATGTAAGTTATCATACAGTTATCACACAAAACATGTAAGTTATCACACAGTTGTCACACAAAACATGTAAGTTATCACACAGTTGTCACACAAAACATGTAAGTTATCACACAGTTATCACACAAAACATGCAAGTTATCACACAGTTGTCACATAAAACATGTAAGTTATCACACTCTTATCACACAAAACATGTAAGTTATCATACAGTTGTCGCACAAAACATGTAAGTTATCACACAGTTGTCACACAAAACATGCAAGTTATCACACAGTTGTCACATAAAACATGTAAGTTATCACACTCTTATCACACAAAACATGTAAGTTATCATACAGTTGTCGCACAAAACATGTAAGTTATCACACAGTTGTCACACAAAACATGCAAGTTATCACACAGTTGTCACACAAAACATGTAAGTTATCACACAGTTATCACACAAAACATGCAAGTTATCACACAGTTGTCACATAAAACATGTAAGTTATCACACAGTTATCACACAAAACATGCAAGTTATCACACAGTTGTCACATAAAACATGTAAGTTATCACACAGTTATCACACAAAACATGCATTATTACACACAGTTGTAACATAAAACATGTAAGTTATCACACAGTTGTCGTACAAAACATGTCAGTTATCACACAGTTGTCACACAAAACATGCATTATTATACACAGTTGTAACATAAAACATGCAAGTTATCAAACAGTTGTCACACAAAACATGTAAGTTATCATATAGTTGTCACAAAACATGCAAGTTATCGCACAGTTATCACACAAAACATGTAAGTTATCACACAGTTGTCACATAAAACATGTAAGTTATCACAGTTGTCACACAGTTGTCACACAAAACATGTAAGTTATCACACAGTTGTCGCACAAAACATGTAAGTTATCACACAGTTGTCGCACAAAACATGTCAGTTATCACACAGTTGTCGTACAAAACATGTAAGTTATCACACAGTTGTCACATAAAACATGTAAGTTATCACACAGTTATCACACAAAACATGTAAGTTATCACAGTTGTCACACAGTTGTCACACAAAACATACAAGTTATCACACAAAACATGTAAATTATCACACAGTTGTCGCACAAAACGTAAGTTTCACACAGTTGTCGCACAAAACATGTCAGTTATCACACAGTTGTCATATAAAACATGTAAGTTATCACACAGTTGTCACACAAAACATGCATTATTATACACAGTTGTAACATAAAACATGCAAGTTATTATACACAGTTGTCACATAAAACATGTAAGTTATCACACAAAACATGCAAGTTATCACAAGGTTGTCACATAAAAGATGTAAGTTATCACAGAGTTATCACACAAAACATGCAAGTTATCATACAGTTGTCATACAAAACATGTAAGTTATCACACAGTTGTTGCACACAACATGTAAGTTATCACACAGTTGTCGTACAAAACATGTAAGTTATCACACAGTTGTCACACAAAACATGCATTATTATACACAGTTGTAACATAAAACATGCAAGTTATTATACACAGTTGTCACATAAAACATGTAAGTTATCACAGAAAACATGTAAGTTATCACATTCTTATCACCCAAAACATGTAAGTTATCATACAGTTGTCGCACAAAACATGCAAGTTATCACACAGTTGTCACATAAAACATGTAAGTTATCACACAAAACATGCAAGTTATCACAAGGTTGTCACATAAAACATGTAAGTTATCACAGAGTTATCACACAAAACACGCAAGTTATCATACAGTTGTCATACAAAACATGTAAGTTATCACACAGTTGTCACACAAAACATGCAAGTTATTATACACGGTTGTTTCATGAAATTTATATTTACCCCTTCTGGAGCATACATGACTTGTATCACTGTTTATATTTACCCCTTCTGGAGCATACAGGACTGTGTCACTGTTTATATTTACCCCTTCTGGAGCATACAGGACTTGTGTCACTGTTTATATTTACCCCTTCTAGAGCATACAGGACTGTATTACTGTTTATATTTACCCCTTCTGGTGTATACAGGACTGTATCACTGTTTATATTTACCCCTTCTGGAGCATACAGGACTTGTATCACTGTTTATTTTTACCCCTTCTGGAGCATACAGGACTGTATCACTGTTTATATTTACCCCTTCTGGAGCATACAGGACTGTATCACTGTTTATATTTACCCCTTCTGGAGCATACAGGACTTGTATCACTGTTTATATTTACCCCTTCTGGAGCATACAGGACTGTATCACTGTTTATTTTTACCCCTTCTGGAGCATACAGGACTGTATCACTGTTTATATTTACCCCTTCTGGAGCATACAGGACTTGTATCACTGTTTATATTTACCCCTTCTGGAGCATACAGGACTGTATCACTGTTTATTTTTACCCCTTCTGGAGCATACAGGACTGTATCACTGTTTATATTTACCCCTTCTGCAGCGTCCACAAACACCACAACACCATCACTGATCCTGAAGGCCGCCGTCACCTCATCAGAAAAGTTCACATGGCCTGGTAAATACAATGCAAGAGTTTTTGTACTATACTGTTAATATATAGCCACTTAGGTAATACAGGAATCAATGTGAAAGATTTTTGAAATTTTTCTCTATCAAAATTCACATTATCCTTTTTTGAAAACAGAATGAATGTAATATCAAATTTCAGATACCCAACGCATGCACAATTAAAACTATACTTTTTTAACTTGATAGTGTTATATAAAAATATTTACTATATATACATAGGGTGACCAGGACTGTCAAAATTAAATCAATATATTTATTTTAATGATGAATTTATCTTTGACAGTCAGTTAAGATTCCTTACAATTTCAGAAATTATATATATATATATATCTTTTGATATATCTGGTTATTATTTACCTGGTGTATCAAAAACATTGACAAGAAAGGACTTCTTCTTCGAGTCTGGTAATACCAATGTGACGGGTGAAGCTTTGATACTCACTCCTCTCTGTAACAATAAACTTATCTCTAGTACCATGTCTAGCCTAGACATTACCCTTGTATTGTCTATATAAACATCACCCTAAAGTAAGACATGAACATCACCCTAAAGGAAGACATGAACATCACCCTAAAGGAAGACATGAACATCATCCTAAAGTAAGACATGAACATCACTCTAAAGTAAGACATGAACATCACCCTAAAGTAAGACATGAACATCACCCTAAAGTAAGACATGAACATTACCCTAGATTAAGACATGAACATTACCCAAATTAAGACATTAACATTACCCTAAATTAAGGCATGAACATCACCCTAAAGTAAGACAAGAACATCACCCTAAATTAAGTAATGAACATTACCCTAAATTAAGACATGAACATCACTCTAAAGTAAGACATGAACATCACCCTAATTTAAGACATGAACATCACCCTAAATTAAGACATTAACATCACCCTAAATTAAGACATGAACATTACCCAAATTAAGACATGAACATCACCCTAAATTAAGACATGAACATCACCCTAAATTAAGACATTAACATCACCCTAAATTAAGACATTAACATCACCATAAATTAAGAGACCAATTAGTAATGACCATAACCAATGAAGGCAAATAATTTTACACTGTAACCTTGAGAGTAAGTCAAGGCAATATTTTAAAAAGAAATCATTAAAGCACAGCATCATTGCACAAACCTACAGACACTAAACGCAATTTGAGCTAAAAATTGATGTTTCTAATATTTTGCATAAAATACACACTTTTAAGATTGTTTCATTTTTGAAGAGATACATGTAATTAGGGAGTGTTACCTCTTGTTCTGTAAACAGTGTGTCAGTGTACCGGATCTGTGAGAACAACAAATATTTCATCATAATTAGTGGAAGTAAACAATTGATCCACTTCATTTAAACCAGTTGTATCCTTACTAAAAATGACAGTAGAAATAGAGCCAAGGAACCATTCCACATAAGTTTGAGTTTATAGGAGAAACACATGTTTTACTTAACACCTTCCTTAACTGATATTTTCCCTAGGGAGTTGAGAACGATATTGGCTTATTGCAAAGGCCCTTTAACTACGGATAATAATTTGTGAACCTCTTTGAGAAGACCTACCAACTAGATTGTGATAAAGCGGTATAGAAGAACCTCAAATTATTATTATTATTAATAAATACATTACAATCTGTAGCAGGGATTGTTACATAAAAGCATTTTATTTTAATACTTAGGTAGCAGAGTACAGTAGAAATGGCCTATGGCTTGACCCTAAAAATAAAGGGCATGTCTCGGATAAACATGGATAGCGGATTCATCCTGCACAACACACCTACATATATATATATATATTTATAAACTTCATTTTGAGTACGTTTTTTTAGAAGAATGATATTTTTTTTCAAAAAGTGATTTCCCAAGATTTGGGACTTGTGAGAACCATGGTTACCACATCAAAAAATGCCTTTTTCTTTAAAACAGTCTTAAATTAAATATCACCTACTCGGTAACAGAAATACTCACGTTTAGCATACATTGTAGGTCGTTCAACTGGATTTTTCACAATATTTACCCATGTGCTGAGTACAAAAATAGACTACAGGAAAAGCTAGCTTTTGTTGTGTAGACACAGATTTGTAAATGGCCAAAAATGTAGTCTCAAGCCAAATTCGATTTGTTTTTTAAATGTGAGGCCCACATAGTCCAATTCATCATGTATATGCCAATTTTAGAGCTGATTTTTTTTTTTTAACTTTTGATACATGTAATATTACAGGGGTTATTCATTGTACAAAAATTTCACCCATGGCCAACGTAGGCTACTGTGCACTGCTACCTACCTAATAAGTAATATTTATAAACTTAAACAGACCTTTAAAGTTAATAACTATCATTATAATACCTCATCTATGTCTGAGTGCTAAACACATCATATGAGAGGGAAACAATTCATACTATCTCCTGGCAGTCAGTGATTTTAGTATAAATTTGGAAAAAAAACATCAAAAACTAGAACTGTCGCCTATGGGCTAACTAATACCCCCTGCGTTCCGGCATCTTGTTGCCCCTGTAGGGGCTAAATAAACAAGGGAAAAAATATATAGAAAGATGAAGGGTCATGAAACAAGAGGCCCATGGGCCTTAACGGTCACCTGATATATATATACAGAGAGTTGATTTTGTTTTTAACATGAACAGAAATATTATTCAAAGTGACAAACAAGAGGCCCAAGAGGGCCTGTATCGCTCACCTGAATATTTAAGCAGTCATAGCAAAATATTCTCATTAAATATTATATTGCACTAAAAATATTTCCCTCGCAAACTTTGTTGGCTCCATCTGTTGAAACTACCAGCAAAATATTATTATAAGATTCTATGCTTTTTGATTCTTCTTCAGAAGTTGCTGACATATTTTTCCCTGTGATCTTGTAAGTAGGTCAATGTCATTTTCCTTCTCAAATTGGTTAGCTCTATTCCAAAAAGCTACCAGCCAAATCTTATGAATCCATTCCTTTTAGTTCTCAAGAACAAATCCATTAAAATGTTGTTGACCTCTGTGACCTCTAAAGTAGGTTGAGGTCATTTTCATTTGCAAACTTTGGTGAGCTCTATCCCGGGAAGTCACCAGCCAAATATTATAATTTTATGCCTTTTAATTCTTCAGAAGAAGCTGTTTGAACTGTTTGACATATTTGAACGCTGTGACCTTGAAAGTAGGTCAAGGTCATTTTCATTCGCAAACTTTGTTTGGCTCTTTCCCAGGAAGCCACCTGCCAAATATTAAGATTTTATAACTACCAGTTCTTCAGAAGAAGTCGTTTAAAGTGTTTGACATATCTGCCTCATGTGACCTTAAAAGAAGGTCAAGGTCATTTTCATTCTCAAACTTTGTTCGGCTCTTTCCTAGGAAGCTACAAGCCAAATATAGAGATTATATACCTTTCAGTTCTTCAGAAGAAGTCGTTTGAAGTGTCTGACACATTTGACTCCTGTGACCTTGAAAGAAGGTCAAGGTCATTTTCATTCTCAAACTTTGTCGGGCTCTATCCAAGGAAGCCATCAATCAAAAATAAAGATTCTATACCTTTCAGTTCTTCAGAAGAAGTCATTTGAAGCTTTTGACATATATGACCCCTGTGACCTTGAAAGTAGGTCAAACTAGTTTTCATTCTCAAACTTTGTTGGGCTCTATCCCAGGAAGCCACCAGCCAAATATAAAGATTATATACCTTTCAGTTCTTCAGAAGAAGTCGTTTGAAGTGTTTGACACATTTGACCCCTGTGACCTTGAAAGAAGGTCAAGGTAATTTTCATTCTCAAACTTTGTTGGGCTCCATCCAAGGAAGCCATCAGCCAAATATGAAGATTCTATACCTTTTAATTCTTCAGAAGAAGTCGTTTGAAGTTTTTGACATATTTGACCCCTGTGACCTTGAAAACAGGTCAAGGTCATTTTCGTTCTCAAACTTTGAAGGGTTCCTACCAACAAAGCTTTCAGCCAAATATCATGACTCTAGGCCTGTCCGTTCTTCAGAAGAAGTTGTTTAAAGGAAAAGTTGACGGACGAGGACGGACGGACGGACGACGGACCCCGCGCCACGGCATAAGCTCACTTGGCACTTCGTGCCAGGTGAGCTAAAAAAAAGCTAAAAACAATAAAACCACCTTATTTAATATCTAGCATACAGATTTCAGACTAAAAAGTATTTGAAACTAGCACCTCTGATTCTAAACAAGGAAAATGAAGAAATTTTAGCACACTGACTCCATTGAGCCCTACCTTGGGGGTAGGGCTGGCTCAAAATTTTCAAAGTATCAAACTGTCAACTCAAGGTTATAATTCCAATCAAGTTATTAACATGTAATATTCAAAGACCTGGGGGTCAGTCAGGGCTCAGATGTGCTTATTATCAAACTGCTACCTAATACTGATAATGCTAACCCAAATTGAATTACTTCCAATGGAAATTAAACAAATGTTGGTCCAAAATGTGATTTCCCTATATAAACTATAGTAAAGTTTACCCCCTCCCCAGGGGGAAATGTGAGACCCCAGGGTCATGAAATTCACAATTTCATTAATGCACCTTAAGACCCTTCCATCTATGAAGAGCATTTGATTCTACCATATCTGGGTCTTGAGAAGAAGAGTTTTGAAATTTTAGTCAATTTGACCCTTTTTGGCCCCGCCCCTCAGGCCCCTGGGGGCTTGGGACCAAACCGGCCCCTATTATTGTTGATCTTTGTCCATGGAAAGTCCCTGCAAAATTTCATTGAAATTGGTTCAGGGGTTTTGGAGAAGAAGATTTTTGAAATTTTAGTCAATTTGACCCTTTTTGGCCCCGCCCCTCAGGCCCATGGGGGCTTGGGACTAAACCGGCCACAGTTTTTGTTGACCTTTGTCCATGGAAGGTCCCTGCAAAATTTCATAGAAATTGGTTCAGGGGTTTTGGAGAAGAGGTCGAAAATGTAAATTGTTTACGGATGCACGACGGACGACGGACGATGGACGACGGATGACGACGGACAAAAGGCGATCGCAATAGGTCACTTGAGACTTTGTCTCAGGTGACCTAAAAATCTAATCTCAGATGTCGTATCGACAGAAAGATGGAAAAGACAAACACCACTACTGTGACCTTTGACTCAATGACCTCAGAATTTTGTCACAATGTAGCTTGCATCAATGCTACATTTGCTCAAAGGTATGTGTATACAAAATACCTACCATTTCTGTCATAATTAGCCATTTCAGTAACATAATGCATCTGTGACCTTTGACCTCATGACCTTGGAAGTTTGTCATAATATAGCCTGCATAATTGGCTACGATACTCTTATGTGTATGTGTATACAAAATATCCTACTGTTTCCGAGACAATAAGCCATTTCAGTAACGTAATTCATTCGTGGCCTTTAACCTCAAACCCTATGACCTTGGAAGCTGTCAGTAGAGAAGATTGCATTAATGCCTACAATATTCTAATGTATATCTGTATACAAAATACCTTCCATTTCAGAGATATTTAGCCATTTCAGTAACGTATTTCATTCGTGACCTTTGACCTTTCTATATATTACCGTACCAGATTTTGAAGGAATTGAATAAAAAACTAGAACACTGACAGGTCAGTAAGGGCCCCGTCTTATGGCAATATATCCCCCATAATCATCAAGAAGCAATCTGCCCATATAGCTGAGCTTGACGTTTGACATTTGGACTTCAAAAAAAATCGCAAGGAAGCAAAATATACATTTCACATGTACTATGATGTGAGTCTTGTTTCTTTCCACCTCCATATTTGCTGGGCTAACAGAAATGTAAATACCGGTGCGATACTCATTTGTTAGCTTTGATTTTTTTATTTCACCTTTAATACCTCCTCCATCAAGAGCCAGTGTCAAAGTCAGAGATCCACTTTGTCTTTGACCTTTGGACCCAAATGACATTGACCATTAACCCAGTGACCCTGATATTTGGTCAATTGACTTATTCTTTAATTATGACCAACTTTGCTTCTTAATATCATAACAAAATGTTCATCAGTGAAAAATACAAAACTTGACCTTGACCCTTTGGACCCCGTTACCTGGACCTAAGGTCAGTTGACTCTGTGCTAAGTTCTGAACAACATTGTTTCATAATGTCATAACAAAATGTTCATCAGGGAAAAGATACAGAATTTAACCTTCACCTTTGACCCAGTGACCTTGACCTTTGGTCAATTGACTCATTGTTTAATTCTGATCAACATTGCTCCAAAGTGTCATAGCGAAATGTTCACCAGTGAAAAGATACAAAATTTTACCTTGACCTTTGACCCAATGACCTTGACCTTTGATCAGTTGACTCCTTGTTTAATTCTGATCAACTTTGCTTCATCATGTCATAACAAAATGTTCATCAGTGAAAATATGCCAAATTTGACCTTGACCTTTGAATCTAATGACCTTGACCTTTGACCTCAACTTTTTTCCTCAGTGTGTCTCTTTGTTTAATTCCGGACAACTTTGCTTCATAATGTCATAGTGAAATGTTCACCAGTAAAAAGCTACAAAATTTGACCTTGACCCCTGACCCGATGACCTTGACCTTTGGTAAGTTGACTCCTTGTTTAATTCTGATCAACTTTGCTTCATAATGTCATAACAAAATGTTCATCAGTGAAAAGATGTAAAATTTGACATTGACCTTTGAACCTAATTACCTTGACCTTTGACCTTGACTTTTTACCTCAATGTGTATTTTTGTGAACTGAACATCTTGACCAAGTTTCATGTACATCGGTCAATAAATACCAAAGTTATCAGCCAGGAACAAAATTTTGGACAGACAGACAGACAGACAGAGTGAATGATTACTATAGGGCACCCGTATCTCCGATACGGGGCCCTAATAAAAAGTTCATTTGTTTTCTGCCATGGTCTAGAGAAGGTTTATGAACTGAGGGCTATAACTTCGTGAAAAGGGGAGATAACTCAATGAAAAGTACTTTACACACATCTCCAAGCTGCAAGGATTGTTATCAGCAAATTTCCTTGAAATCCATCCAATAGTTTAGGAGGAGTATACGGTACTACATTGCGTCCACGGACGGACGAACAACCTGAATCCAGTATACCTCCCACCCCCCCCCCAAATTCTTTGCTGGGGGTATAATTATCCAGGGGAAAGGGCTTAATAAAACCCCAAACTGACCTTAAAAAACACTGACAGCGAACACTAAAAGTTTACAATACATCACATCTTCCAGTCTTTTGGAGAAATGTGACATTTGTTTCAACAGCAACAAAGTAACCTTATGAATTGATAGATTTAATTCTTGTAATTTTACTTAATTCTTTCCTGATATAATAAACAGTTTCTTGTCCATAATTCCCTGTAAATAAAATAACCCTTACATCTTTGTCATCTGTGCCATCAATTTCTGGATGGGTCTGTGAAACTAAACAGTCCACGAAGGAGGTCTGCAATGGATAAAACATTGATCACTATAGCAACATGTCCACAAAATGTTTACATAATAACAGAGCTTAAGGAACAATTATCCAAACCAATCAAATTAATCTACAGAAAGTTAAGTGATATTGCTCTGAATTTGAGTTGAAGTGTAAAATTGTCGATCTACATCCTATACTTGATAACGTGTACTCACTTTGCCATGATGTAAGTGTCCACACAGCGTCACATTTCTGATGAGATCTGGCGTGTCCATCAGGTCAGCTAAAAACCTGAGGATGTGAAAAAACAATCACCAATAAATAACATATACGTTGAGTGTTCCTCTTTAGGAGAAGAGTGTTACTGTGTATTCATGAAAATAAATATATGCCAATTCAGTGGTATGAGTTAGGGGTACGTTAAGAGCACTGTATCACTATAGATAGGGAGCCTGTACAGGGGGTTCTGTATCACTATAGATAGGGACCCTGTACAGGGGGTTCTGTATCACTATAGAAAGGGACCCTGTACAGGGGGTTCTGTATCACTATAGATAGGGACCCTGTTGAGAGGGTTCTTTATCACAATAGATTGGGACCCTGTTGAGAGGGTTCTGTATCACAGTAGATAGGGACCCTGTACAGGGGGTTCTGTATCACTATAGATAGAGACCCTGTACACGGGGTTCTATATCACTATAGATAGGGACCCTGTTGAGAGGGTTCTGTATCACTATAGATAGGGACCCTGTTGAGAGGGTTTTGTATCACTATAGATAGGGACCCTATTGAGAGGGTTCTGTATCAAAGTAGACAGGGACCCTGTTGAGAGGGTTCTGTATCACAGTAGATAGGGACCCTGTACAGGGGGTTCTGTATCACTATAGATAGGGACCCTGTACATGGGGTTCTGTATCACAGTAGATAGGGACCCTGTTGAAAGGGTTCTGTATCACTATAGATAGGGACCCTGTTGAGAGGGTTCTGTATCACAATAGATAGGGACCCTGTTGAGAGGGTTCTGTATCACAGTAGATAGGGACACTGTTGAGAGGGATCTGTATCACAGTAGATAGAATCCCTGTTGAGATGGTTCTGTATCACTATAGATAGGGACCCTGTTGAGAGGGTTCTGTATCACAATAGAATGGGACCCTGTTGAGAGGGTTCTGTATCACTATAGATAGGGACCCTTTTGAGAGGGTTCTGTATCACAATAGAATGGGACCCTGTTGAGAGGGTTCTGTATCACAGTAGATAGGGACACTGTTGAGAGGGATCTGTATCACAGTAGATAGAATCCCTGTTGAGAGGGTTCTGTATCACTATAGATAGGGACCCTGTTGAGAGGGTTCTGTATCACAATAGAATGGGACCCTGTTGAGAGGGTTCTGTATCACTATAGATAGGGACCCTTTTGAGAGGGTTTTGTATCACAATAGAATGGGACCCTGTTGAGAGGGTTCTGTAAAACTATAGATAGGGACCCTTTTGAGAGGGTTCTGTATCACAGTAGATAGGGACCCTGTTGAGAGGGTTCTGTATCACAGTAGATAGAATCCCTGTTGAGATAGTTCTGTATCACTATAGATAGGGACTATGTTGAGAGGGTTCTGTATCACAGTAGATAAGGAACCTGTTGATATGGGTCTGTATCACAATAGATTGGGACACTGTTGAGAGGGTTCTGTATCCCAGTAGATAGGGACCCTGTTGAGAGAGTTCTGTACCACGATAGATAGGGACCCTGTTGAGAGGGTTCAGTATCACAGTAGATAGGGACCCTGTTGAGAGGGTGTTGTATCACAATAGATAGGGACCCTGTTGAGAGGGTTCTGTATCACAGTAGATAGGGACCCTGTTGAGAGGGTTCTGTATCACAGTAGATAGGGACCCTGTTGAGAGGGTTCTGTATCACTATAGATAGGGACCCTGTTGAGAGGGTTCTGTATCACAATAGATAGGGACCCTGTTGAGAGGGTTCTGTATCACAGTAGATAGGGACCCTGTTGAGAGGGTTCTGTATCACAGTAGATAGGGACCCTGTTGAGAGGGTTCTGTATCACTATAGATAGGGACCCTGTTGAGAGGGTTCTGTATCACAATAGATAGGGACCCTGTTGAGAGGGTTCTGTATCACAGTAGATAGGGACCCTGTTGAGAGGGTTCTGTATCACAGTAGATAGGGACCCTGTTGAGAGGGTTCTGTATCACTGTAGATAGGGACCCTGTTGAGAGGGTTCTGTATCACTATAGATAGGGACCCTGTTGAGAGGGTTCTGTATCACAATAGATAGGGACCCTGTTGAGAGGGTTCTGTATCACAGTAGATAGGGACCCTGTTGAGAGGGTTCTGTATCACAGTAGATAGGGACCCTGTTGAGAGGGTTCTGTATCACAATAGATAGGGACCCTGTTGAGAGGGTTCTGTATCACAGTAGATAGGGACCCTGTTGAGAGGGTTCTGTATCACAGTAGATAGGGACCCTGTTGAGAGGGTTCTGTATCACTATAGATAGGGACCCTGTTGAGAGGGTTCTGTATCACAATAGATAGGGACCCTGTTGAGAGGGTTCTGTATCACAGTAGATAGGGACCCTGTTGAGAGGGTTCTGTATCACAGTAGATAGGGACCCTGTTGAGAGGGTTCTGTATCACTATAGATAGGGACCCTGTTGAGAGGGTTCTGTATCACAATAGATAGGGACCCTGTTGAGAGGGTTCTGTATCACAGTAGATAGGGACCCTGTTGAGAGGGTTCTGTATCACAGTAGATAGGGACCCTGTTGAGAAGGTTCTGTATCACTATAGATAGGGACCCTGTTGAGAGGGTTCTGTATCACAATAGATAGGGACCCTGTTGAGAGGGTTCTGTATCACAGTAGATAGGGACCCTGTTGAGAGGGTTCTGTATCACTATAGATAGGGACCCTGTTGAGAGGGTTCAGTATCACAGTAGATAGGGACCCTGTTGAGAGGGTTCTGTATCACAGTAGATAGGGACCCTGTTGAGAGGGTTCTGTATCACAGTAGATAGGGACCCTGTTGAGAGGGTTCTGTATCACAGTAGATAGGGACCCTGTTGAGAGGGTTCTGTATCACAGTAGATAGGGACCCTGTTGAGAGGGTTCTGTATCACAGTAGATAGGGACCCTGTTGAGAGGGTTCTGTATCACAGTAGATAGGGACCCTGTTGAGAGGGTTCTGTATCACAGTAGATAGGGACCCTGTTGAGAGGGTTCTGTATCACAGTAGATAGGGACCCTGTTGAGAGGGTTCTGTATCACAGTAGATAGGGACCCTGTTGAGAGGGTTCTGTATCACAGTAGATAGGGACCCTGTTGAGAGGGTTCTGTATCACAGTAGATAGGGACCCTGTTGAGAGGGTTCTGTATCACAGTAGATAGGGACCCTGTTGAGAGGGTTTTGTATCACAGTAGATAGGGACCCTGTTGAGAGGGTTCTGTATCACTATAGATAGGAACCCCGTTGAGAGGGTTCTGTATCACTATAGATAGGAACCCTGTTGAGAGGGTTCTGTATCACAGTAGATAGGGACCCTGTTGAGAGGGTTCTGTATCACTATAGATAGGAACCCCGTTGAGAGGGTTCTGTATCACTATAGATAGGAACCCTGTTGAGAGGGTTCTGTATCACTATAGATAGGAACCCTGTTGAGAGGGTTCTGTATCACTATAGATAGGGTCCCTGTTTAGAGGGTTCTGTATCACTATAGATAGGGACCCTGTTTAGAGGGTTTTGTATCACAGTAGATAGGGCCCTGTTGAGAGGGTTCAGTATCACAGTAGATAGGGACCCTGTTGAGAGGTTTCTGTATCACTATAGATAGGGCCCCTGTTGAGAGGGTTCTGTATCACTATAGATAGGGTCCCTGTTTAGAGGGTTCTGTATCACTATAGATAGGAACCCTGTTGAGAGGGTTCTCTATCACAGTAGATAGGGACCCTGTTGAGAGGGGTCTGTATCACTATAGATAGGGACACTGTTGAGAGGGTTCTGTATCACGATAGATAGGGACGCTGTTTAGAGGGTTTTGTATCACAGTAGATAGGGACCCTGTTGAGAGGGGTCTGTATCACTATAGATAGGGACCCTGTTTAGAGGGTTTTGTATACAGTCTAGGTTAAGGATCCCTGTCCCAGTTCACTTAGGGTTAGGGTTAGGGTTTATTTTGTATGTACAGTTACCACCATTCATTTTGGACAAAACTGTAGCACACCTAGGTCAGTACACCTTCTTTTACCATGTAGCTCAACTTGTCAAAGCGACAGTATAACAGTCTCAGGTCCAGGGTTTGAATCTTGGCCCCTCCAGCTGAAATTTTAGCCTCCATACAATTTTGTTGAATATATTTTGTCTATTAATAACTTTATTGTTTTTTCATAATTTTTTTTATAACATCTTGCAAGGTTAAGTGGTTTTTTTTAAAACGGTTCATCAAAGCTCTACAAGAAGAAAAGTTTTAAATGGAGAGTTGAGTTTTTGGTAGTGGTACGAGAAGTGTTAAGTGTGGTACCAGGTGAGTTTAGTGTGTCCATTACATATTAAATTAGTTCTATCACAGTAAATAGGGGCTGTGTTTAGGGGGGTCAGTATACTTACTCCATGTTATAAACAGTTTCTGGTAAATCTTGTTCCACCATTGAGAATTTTTTCTTCTTGACAGGAGCTATGATTGGCTCTGTAGATAAACAAGAACTGTTCAGTGATAGAGTATTTTGATGTGTAATATAATGCTTGTACATGTTATTTCATTTTACACCATAAAAACAGCATTTTATCTGATTACAGAACTACCCTAAACCCGATATCTATGCTATATCCATTATGTACAGCCTATGTTTTATGGTAAAACATTCCTTATAGATAGGAACACTGTTGATTGTTGATTCTAATTAAAAAGGTTTGTATAATATGTTACTCACCTGTCAATGGTTGTGTGTCCTCTTCTTGAACTATTGTCTGGAAAGAAAAAGTTAGAAAAGCATGCTAAAAGGCTTCCTTGTAAACATTGATTGTGGTGTACTTATTATCTACACTATTAATGTCAGAATGAATCTGCCAATTGAAATAGATTTCAGACCCCTTAACATTAGACCCAATTTTGATATTTGTTCTAATACACTGAATTGGTTTGAATCAATCATTTAAATGACTATGATTAACAGATGTTTGGAATTTTGTGATAATGCATGCACTGGCCATGGTATGTACCAAACACAGTAATGAATAGAGTCATTCAACTAAATGATTAATAAAACTAGAATTATGTCAGTGTGACATTAAAGCCGCTCAACACTTTAAATTTAATTGCTTCAGTAACACGTTGAGCATCAATATCTACTATAATACCTCAGATATATGTTCTGTATTCTGCTAATTGAAAATCAGGTCATGTGATGATGTTGCCTTTGGAATTTCCAAAATCAATCACCTCTTAAATGACACCTTAAAAACATTTCTCCCTCTCCTCTTTTGTCACCCTCTCTTTTGTGACGCATTGTTGTAATTTTCATTAATTAGCATTCTCCAATGATGTGACATTAGCATTATGTGAAGAATGGCAATCGGTGAATGGGTAATAAAGAATAGGTGCATTTTGTGCTTGTGAAATGAAGAATAATTAACAGTAGTGGGAAAACATGAATGGAGAAAAGAGACATTGTACTCCTTTTATTTTTATTTATTTTTTATTCATACTAATAATATTTATTAATATATGAAGTGACTTTACTTACTGTCATTGAATATACAATTCATCACAAAATCTCACAAATGTTCTTGGAATATATTTGAATTATATTTCTTAATGCGACTTTACCAACGTAAGAGTTATTTCCCTTACACCAGATTGGATAATATTTTGACACAGCGTGAATTCTTGTCAAACAGCAGCGGCAGTTGCGTCATGTTCTTAAATTGTTACATTTTCATAAATAAATACACCAGAAATAGCATGCTGTGTACAGAAATGTTTGATAAGCATATACAGTCCATATATCGTCTCGTCTCAGAGCCACGTCCGTGGTAGCAACGATGGTTTATTACCGTTATCAACCTAACGCCCTAAGCATGATATGTCATTTTACGTTCCCGTTTGAAACATCAAAATAGAAGTTATACTTAATCACTCATACGGTTTATAAGTATATTTATTTACTTCTTCCTTGTACTAGAAAATATAAAAAGCTAGACAGTACAGACAACGTCAACTCGAATCAGATTCGCGAAAACAAACACTCCTCAGAACTGCTAAAACGCTCAAACACAGCGCACAAATTTCACCACCACAACACTCGTAGAATGCACCGGAGATAAACATTTTGTTTTCAGCAATTATTTAAAGTATGGATTATTATTTGGAGAAGAGTATCGGAAGACTTTATGTAACCCCTAGTTGTTCACAGATCACAGAACAAATATTGATTAATTAATTGTATGAACTAGATTTGCTTAAAATCAAGCACATCCTAAATGTTGGATTCATGAGGGTTTTATTAACATTTTCTGTAATATGAGGCTTTATAAGTTATTCTGAGGAAACTTTTAAACCATAACTCTACTCGTCAAAAGGGTGGTATAACATACACCTCCACACAAAAATGTGGTACAACACACCTCCACCCACAAAAGGGTGGTATAACACACACCTCCACACAAAAGGGTGGTATAACACACACCTCCACCCACAAAAGGGTGGTATAACACACACCTCCACCTACAAAAGGGTGGTTAAACACACCTCCACCCACAAAAGGGTGGTATAACACACACCTCCACACACAAAAGGGTGGTAAAACACACACCTCCACACGTATAACATACACCTCCACACAAAAATGTGGGACAACACACCCCCACCCACAAAAGGGTGGTATAACACACACCTGCACACACAAAAGGGTGGTATAACACACACCTCCAGACACAAAAGGGTGGTATAACATACACCTCCACCTACAAAAGGGTGGTATAACATACACCTCCACCTACAAAAGGGTGGTATAACACAGTATAACATACACCTCCACACAAAAATGTGGTACAACACACCTCCACCCACAAAAGGGTGGTATAATACACACCTCCACACACAAAAGGGTGGTATAACACCCCTCCACCTACAAAAGGGTGGTATAACACACACCTCCACACACAAAAGGGTTGTATAACATACACCTCCACCCACAAAAGGGTGGTATAACATACACCTCCACCTACAAAAGGGTGGTATAACACACACCTCCACACAAACATGTGGTATAACACACACCTCCACCCACAAAAGGGTGGCATAACACACACCTCCACCTACAAAAGGGTGGTATAACATACACCTCCACCTACAAAAGGGTGGTATAACATACACCTCCACACACAAAAGGGTGGTATAACACACCTCCACCTACAAAAGGGTGGTATAACACAGTATAACATACACCTCCACACAAAAATGTGGGACAACACACCCCCACCCACAAAAGGGTGGTATAACACACACCCCCACACACAAAAGGGTGGTATAACACACCCCTCCACACAAAAGGGTGGTATAACACACACCTCCACCTACAAAAGGGTGTTATAACACACCTCCACCCACAAAAGGGTGGTTTAACACACCTCCACACACAAAAGGGTGGTATAACACACACCTCCACACACAAAAGGGTGGTATAACACACACCTCCACACACAAAAGGGTGGTATAACACACACCTCCACACACAAAAGGGTGGTATAACACACACCTCCACACACAAAAGGGTGGTATAACACACACCTCCACACACAAAAGGGTGGTATAACACACACCTCCACACACAAAAGGGTGGTATAACACACACCTCCACACACAAAAGGGTGGTATAACACACACCTCCACACACAAAAGGGTGGTATAACACACACCTCCACACACAAAAGGGTGGTATAACACACACCTCCACACACAAAAGGGTGGTATAACACACACCTCCACACACAAAAGGGTGGTATAACACACACCTCCACACACAAAAGGGTGGTATAACACACACCTCCACACACAAAAGGGTGGTATAACACACACCTCCACACACAAAAGGGTGGTATAACACACACCTCCACACACAAAAGGGTGGTATAACACACACCTCCACACACAAAAGGGTGGTATAACACACACCTCCACACACAAAAGGGTGGTATAACACACACCTCCACACACAAAAGGGTGGTATAACACACACCTCCACACACAAAAGGGTGGTATAACACACACCTCCACACACAAAAGGGTGGTATAACACACACCTCCACACACAAAAGGGTGGTATAACACACACCTCCACACACAAAAGGGTGGTATAACACACACCTCCACACACAAAAGGGTGGTATAACACACACCTCCACACACAAAAGGGTGGTATAACATACACCTCCACCCACAAAAGGGTGGTATAACACACACCTCCACACACAAAAGGGTGGTATAACACACACCTCCACACACAAAAGGGTGGTATAACACACACCTCCACACACAAAAGGGTGGTATAACACACACCTCCACACACAAAAGGGTGGTATAACACACACCTCCACACACAAAAGGGTGGTATAACACACACCTCCACACACAAAAGGGTGGTATAACACACACCTCCACACACAAAAGGGTGGTATAACACACACCTCCACACACAAAAGGGTGGTATAACACACACCTCCACACACAAAAGGGTGGTATAACATACACCTCCACCCACAAAAGGGTGGTATAACACACACCTCCACACACAAAAGGGTGGTATAACACACACCTCCACACACAAAAGGGTGGTATAACACACACCTCCACACACAAAAGGGTGGTATAACACACACCTCCACACACAAAAGGGTGGTATAACACACACCTCCACACACAAAAGGGTGGTATAACACACACCTCCACACACAAAAGGGTGGTATAACACACACCTCCACACACAAAAGGGTGGTATAACACACACCTCCACACACAAAAGGGTGGTATAACACACACCTCCACACACAAAAGGGTGGTATAACACACACCTCCACACACAAAAGGGTGGTATAACACACACCTCCACACACAAAAGGGTGGTATAACACACACCTCCACACACAAAAGGGTGGTATAACACACACCTCCACACACAAAAGGGTGGTATAACACACACCTCCACACACAAAAGGGTGGTATAACACACACCTCCACACACAAAAGGGTGGTATAACACACACCTCCACACACAAAAGGGTGGTATAACACACACCTCCACACACAAAAGGGTGGTATAACACACACCTCCACACACAAAAGGGTGGTATAACACACACCTCCACACACAAAAGGGTGGTATAACACACACCTCCACACACAAAAGGGTGGTATAACACACACCTCCACACACAAAAGGGTGGTAAAACACACACCTCCACACACAAAAGGGTGGTATAACACACCTCCACACACAAAAGGGTGGTATAACACTCACCTCCACACACAAAAGGGTGGTATAACACACACCTCTACCTACAAAAGGGTGGTATAACACACACCTCCACCCACAAAAGGGTGGTATAACACACACCTCTACCCACAAAAGGGTGGTATAACACACACCTCTACCCACAAAAGGGTGGTATAACACACCCCTCCACCTACAAAAGGGTGGTATAACTGGTATAACACACACCTCCACACACAAAAGGGTGGTTTAACACACCTCCACACACAAAAGGGTGATATAACACACCTCCACACACAAAAGGGGGGTATAACACACACCTCCACACACAAAACGGTGGTATAACATACACCTCCACACACAAAAGGGTGGTAAAACACACAACTCCACACACAAAAGGGAGGTATAACATACACCTCCACACACAAAAGGGTGGTATAACATACACCTCCACCCGCAAAAGGGTGGTATAACACACAC